CTACTCCTGCTGCTATTGCTGCTGCTGCTGCTGGCCATTCGGCTGCCACTTAACTCTACACTGCACTACACGTTCATGAAAAATGATTATAAGTGGGTCACAGGATATGCAAATGTTTCTTTTCCACGCTCAGCTTACGACAATGGCAGAGTGGAGCGAACTGGAGCACAGCTGCTCCATCGGCCGCCAGAGGGCGTTGCCTAGCGGCAGGTGTTGGGCCACTCTTGAGTTATGTTCACATACATATATATTTTTATACATATATATACATATATATGCGTATATGTATATGTCTGCCTGAGGACTCTACGTACTTGGCAGGACATTTTGCAAATGCAACTGAAAGTTTGCCAAGAAAATGGTGAAAGTTTTTTCCGCTTTAGTATTTTACAACCGCCATTGCCGCCAGCTGCAAGTTGGCAGTTGCAACTTTAATTTTGCAGAGAGAGCGCACAGTGCCCAGTGGTAACCAAACAGTCCAGAGCACACGAAAAGGAACAACAACAGCAATAACAACAAAATGGCAAGGACAACGCCTACAGTTACATTTGATTTAATTTTCCATGTCAGCTCCACGAACTTGCCGTAAAGCCAAACGCACAACGCATGAAAAACTAATCAAAACGGCGCTCGTCCTGGGACCCACTTGTGCCCGGACCCTCCACATTGACCACGTGTCCATCCAGCCAGCATGCCATCGGCCATTTGCTGCCTGACACATGCACATGTCCTTGCGACTCTAATCCCAGAGTGAAAGTTTATTTGGCTCTTTACCATTTCCTTGGCAAAGTCAAATAGTTTAAAATGTGTCACTAGTTTTGCCATTTGTTTATATATAAATAAATATATATGTATATATTTTTATTTTATTTTATTTTATTTTTTCTTTATTTAGTTTTTACTCGAATCGCAAAAATATTATATGTTTGTTATGTTTGCGCTCAGAGCTAGAGAGCTTTTCGAGTTGGATGAGTTTTGTGTTTCAGACATTGAGATTGAAATGTCATCAGAAATAAAAATACATGCAAATCCTTGGTTGTGGCATGCAAATGCAAAATGAAAAGTTCACACAATCGATAAGTCACAAATATGGCTAACAAATGAAGAAGTGTGTGGGGCGACTTTAAAAGCTTTAACAATTTTGCTATATACATATATGTATAATATAATATCTGTAATATTTATATGTAATATATATATATATATATATATATATATATAAGTAATAATAAATAATATGAGGAAATTGTTAATAAATATCTAAAAACAGTCTAAACACTTAACTATGCCTATTAAAATTGTCTTTAAACTAGGTACTAAATAATTTATTCATAATACCAAAAGTCTGGCTCTTGCTCTCACCTGTTTAAAGTCTTTAATTATTAATAGAAAAAACAACCTGAGCATTTCAGCATTTTCAAGAATTTCAGCTTTTAGCTGTCTTAAAACAAAGACCTCAAAGCTGAGGCAGCCGCAGAGCACTGATGACCGTAAACCTAGCTGTAGACCCAGTCCCTGGGATATATTTGTTTTATTTTCTATTTTCTATTTTTATTTTTTTTGTAACGCTTCTTTAAGCTCCAAACATTTTGCTTAGTTTGGCAAAAACACGCAGCGACCATTTTTCATATTTTCATTTATAAATTTATTATAAAGCCAGCAGCAGCAGCAGCAGCAGTGAGAGCAACAGCTACTCTTTGCTGGTGGATGGGCTTAATAGCTACCATTTGCCCCTGCCACCGCTCCCATGTCTGCCCCTACTACAACTCCTGCTCATGTCCCTGATGTTGCCACTCCTGCTACCACACAGCTCTGCCCACTCTAACAGTGCTCTTGGCTGCGGTTTAGAGCATCGGCTACTTTGGCATTTATTTTAAATTATAGTTCGCAGTAATAACTAATGCTCAAAGAGCAGTTGCTGCTGCTGTTGTTGTTGTTGTTGTTTATATTCTTGTTGTTGCCTGCTGAAAGTTGGTTTGGTTGTTGTCGCTGCCATGCACAGAAATTATAGACATTTTGGTCTGTGTAGATGTCTGTGTGTGTGTGTGTGTGTGTTTAGTTTTAGCCGTTTAATGACAGTATTTGCCAGCTATGCCATACTTCTATGGCAGCTTGACATGAGATTCCAATCGCTTTTGGAGCGTTGAGGGGCTTTCAATTAAATTTGCTGCAAAGTGAATGTGGATTAAACAGTTTGACAACTCATCTGCATAATTATGAAAACCAGTTGACATTTTTGCAGCCACTAATTGAAAATTCCTCAAGTCAAGCCAATGCTGTCAAACAGCTGGCAAGTTTCTCGCCAATTTCCATGCACAGCGACACAACACAATGCCAATCGATGTGTGTGTGTGTGTGAGTGTGTATATGTTCGTGTGTGGGTTCTGTGTTGTGTGAACGTATTTTCACCATTATGGCAATCGCCCCTTTGGGGCCGCCTAATGGCCATCACGCCCCCTGAAACACTCCCCAACACAAAACGTCAGTAAATATGAATGAGTTCCAGTTAATGAAATATTGAAATATGAATAGACAAACTCGCCTTCCTACACTCCAAAGCAATCATATGTCCATCAAGCACAACTTTGTCTGTCAGAGTCGACAGCAAAATCAGCTCAGCTCAAGCGCATGAGCAGGACTAAGAGATACCCTGCAATGCAGCTAACATTAGGTACTTCAACTTTGCACAGAATATGCGTGATTCTAAATTAAATAATCAGAAACGAATACTTATAAGAATTACTCATATAAATGGAAATCAATTTCTCTTACAAATAGGCAAAAGCTGTGCCCTATATACCTTTGTTTATCCAACTTTTTAGGGTAGTGGCAGAAAAAAAAATAATTTAATCGTAAGCTTGCGAAGGAAATAAAGCCTTTACCGCGGAGGGACTTTCACCCATCAGAAAAAAAAAAGAAATGTAACCCGAAACAAACAAAAATTACAACGCTTAATTATGAAAAGTGTTTTTTTTTTTTTTCTCTCCTCCATCAGTTCGTCGAGGAAAATGAGTAAAAATGTGGAAAACACACGAAACGAGTTAATGAGCGATATTATAATGAAGTTTTTCGCTTGGCTGGGGTGTTCGACGAGTACCGCTAGCCACCCTTGTGGCGCTAGCATGTGGGTCAGAGCTGTTCGGGTAGCTGCTGCCTGTAATGGGGCTAATCAAATATTTGACATTTGTTTTGGGCGGCGCTGCCGTTGAGCTCAACTTGTCTACTCCAAAACTCATTAGAATCGCTGTGCGTGGGCCTGGGCAGAGAGCCCCTCATTCCTAAGATGGACAATCGCAAGGGCAGACGGCCTGGGCAGTCAGCCGTGCAGCTTGCAGCGAAATATTTCATTAAATTGCTTAACATTGCAACTGCAATCCAAGTAACCAACAGCCAACAGCCAACATCAACAGCCACATTAACAATGAGGCGAACACCATAAAAAAGGCAAAGGAAAGCATAATATGAGCACAGATTGCAACGTCGGGTCAGCAAGATATTTAAATGACCTACGCAAGAGAGTAAAAACTGTTCAAAAAGAAATTTAAAATAAAAAAAATAAAATAAAATAAAAAAAAAAATAATAATTAATATAGAATTCAATTTGAGAAAGAAAAAAAATTATAAAAAACATTTTAATAGCTTTGGTGAAATCACAAATATTTAGCTTTTATCTAATATTTTTAAGGCTACGAAAACACTTTTGCAAATATTTTTTTTTTAAGCTTCGCCTATATTCACTGAAAAAAGTAATATAATATATAGAGAAATAAATATATATATAAATATATATATATATATAAATTTTTTGTTTTTACATTAGAGAGGGTTAATATTAAGTGATAAACTGGGGCTTGATGAAAAATAAATAAAAAGGAAGTCTATATAGAGCAGAAGAGTAGAATCCATACCTAATTCCTATGAAAAGTATACAAAGTGGCAAGAGGATCAGTTTTTTTTTTTCTAATTTATAAAGAAAATTAAATTATCGAGAATTATCGATATCGAATTTTTTTTCAAGGGGAGACAATTTTTCGGCTTATCACGATTTTCGATTGTTTCATATGCTAAATAGTTTGTGTTTTTAAGATATTGTATTTTATGGGCATGGATGTAAATATATATTTATGTAATTGAGGAGATATAAAGTGAATTTGAGGAAAACAACATTGTGAACCATCAGCTAATGTACAGCTGGTTCTATATTGACGTAGATTGGGGGTCGTTAATGTTCTTGATAGTCTGGATTGTAGATGCCGTGGGGAATTAAAGTGTAAACGCGTGCACACAAACGAGTGGAGGAAAATGAAAAAGACAAAAACGGAAGCGGAAATGTTTAATGCGGGTTTGCTAGCACCGAGGACGATGCGTTGACGTGTCCAACTCGCCGGCCGGCCAGCCGGCTGCCTGACTGCCTGGATGACCAATGTAAAACGTAGGTCGAGCCTTGGAGCGAGAACAAAGCCGAGACCATGTCCATGTGAGTTACGCAGTAACGAAAGCCGATAAATATTTATTTGCATGTATACGTGAGTCTGTGTGTGTGTGTGAGTATATGCGTATGTATTTGCGTGTGCGTGTGTGTATATGTTAATTAAGAATTTGCAGCAGGCTGGCAGACGATTAAATGTGTACGAAAATGTGCCGCCCGGCATCCATTGACCCCACCGCACAACAGCCGCATGCTGTCCATTGCAATCGTTGTGCTGGACACGCAAAGGACGACCATTAGTTCCGGCGAGGGGGCAAGGGTTGGCGTCGATAATCGAATGAATTAATGGAACACGCAAATGAAATAAAAATCGGCAGCGCAAGCGATTCATTTGGATAAATCTCTTAGCTGGCAATGACTACAAAGAGAAAAAAAACTATACACAACAGGGTGTACCGAGTTCAGTTTCTACCGAACGGAATCCTGCCATAATAAAAAACAGAAATATCATAGATCTACCTTAATCAGTATTTCTTCATCTTCTAATTAGACTCGAATTCATGTCAAGAACTTTCGTATTTAAATATAATTTATTTAGTTTTCACTTTCTTCGTCTTCTTAACCTTTGAAACGTTTTTCGGCTTTCCGGTTATCTTTTTATACAAACATTTGACGATTTTTCTAAAGACGAACCAACTCAGAGCTATGAGACATAAGAGCAATGCATAAATATCTAAATTATTGGCTGCAATGAAACTCATGTGGACGAGGGGACTCTGCAAATGGGCTGCTCCATGATGCCTCAGAACATATTCAACCCAATAGAGCACGGTTTGACGAGCTGTCAATGGGCGATCACGGAAGAGCTGGGAGAATGCTTTTACCTTTTCCGTATATTGGGGATTCTCGAGAACTTCTTTGATGTTATCATGGAAGGGCTTCTCTTCCAGGGTTAATAAGCTCATACTCAAACCAAATCCATCCTTAACCATCTTAGCAGCATTAGCGGGTTGATCGGCAAACACTGGCAAAGAGAGCATAGGCTTTCCGTGAAACTGAGATTCCGTGATGCCGCCTCTTCCAGCGTGATTTATGAAGAGCTTAATATTGGGATGGGCTAGAATATCATCTTGTGGCAGCCACTTGGAGTAGAGAATATTATCCGATTTTCCAGGAGTTTTATCCAGATCCTCCCACTTCCAAATGACTTTCTGTTTCAGCTTGGACAGCACATTGAACATCTTTTGAACTGTATCCGGCTTCAAAAATGCTCCTTTCAAATTGGAGCCTAAACTAAGAAGGATTGCTCCGTGTGTAGCATTTTGCAAAAAGTCAGCAATCGGTTTTGGCAAGGGATCGGGCGTTTCCTTAATTTGAATGCCTCCAACTTCAATCGCTCCCGGGAAATTGGGTCGAATGGGACCTTCACTAATGCCATGAGAATTGAATAGGACAAGGGATATATTTTTGTAGAGATCTTCATATTTTGGCATAGTTGGATCATTTCCAAAGATCTCCCTGCGAAAAGTTCCAAAAGCTAAAAAATTGTTTAGAGCACTTATTGGGTTCTCACTTACTCGTAATATTTTGCATTATCTATGTCCATAAGGTACATAAATGTTTTAAATGCGCTAAGTAATATGTAATTTTTTAAGCGCTGTCCAAAGCTCATTGTTTGACCTTTTTCAACGGAAACACCCATGGTCGGAACATAGGATTGGATTTGAATTTCCCCGAGCATGGGATCGAATAGCTCTGATTGGAACATTGAAGTTACTATCACCACTGGCACCTTCAGCTTCTGAGCGATGCCTATTTGAAAGGTATTGAAGGAGTAACCGACCATCACGAGATCGAACTTGTTATCCTTGTTCTCGTATAGATCCCGGACACGTGGATCTTTCATGACATCGCGACTCTTGTCAAACATTGCCAACAATTCTTTCCGCATGCGGAATACAGCCGCAATAAGATCAGAGTTGTCTCTCTCAACCATTCCGGCGATGCTAGCCTCCATGGCTTTGTTCTCCTCCTCGGAGAGTGGCACGTGTATAAGGTTTATATTCTTGTGGGTCACATGAGGTATCAGAGATGTGATCACCGTGACATTATGTCCGTTCTCAGCCAACACCTTGGCCATTGAAATTTCCACAATCAGATGAGATGGAGAGGGACAGCTAAATACTGCAAGAATGTTTGCCCCGCGCGATCCATTGATAAAAAAAGCCGCGAGAAGCGAGAGGAATAGAAACTTTAGCGACATGTTCCCGGCTAGAATATTCGTCGCTCACTGAACAACACTTGCTGTAGGCTAGGTATTATTATGGCTAACTAAGTTGCTTAGCTCACAGTGATATGACAGTTATTAGCGATATGGTCGGTTATCAATGATATGTGCCGCTGCTTGGCCCCACACAACAATTTGTAATCTGCAGTCTATACGCTAACTGATCGTATCGCTCGTAGCGCGCAGTCTTATAGTTTGATAAGCGATAGTGCTGACAACCATAGTGGATAGAGGAATCTGTTTTCAATATGCCTCTAAATAATTCTTTTATCATCCGGAGAGCTGTTGTTTCAAATATTTAAGGAGTATCTTCATAGACTTTGGAATGATATACGTTTATATTCTTTTATCAATAATTTACCATAAAAAGTTAAATCGCTTTTATAATAGAAATTTCAAATGTCCGAAATTTACTCATAATCCCAAGCTTAACCCTTAAAATTGGAAATCTGCTCTAAATAGTTTCTTGATTATGTATGAAATGTTTATTATTTTAATTCATATACTTTTCAGTTTCCTTGGCTTAGCAATCGTGCCACTTTTCCATTTTCCACTAATATTTTCGTACACAAACTTAAGTACTAATTTCAAGAGAAACCAGATAACAACTATGAAGGAAATTAGCAATGCATAAATATCTAAATTATTGGCTGCTATGAAGCTCATGTGGACGAGGGGACTCTGCAAATGGGCTGCTCCATGATGCCTCAGAACATATTCAACCCAATAGAGCACGGTTTGACGAGCTGTCAATGGGCGATCACGGAAGAGCTGGGAGAATGCTTTTACCTTTTCCGTATATTGGGGATTCTCGAGAACTTCTTTGATGTTTTCATGGAAGGGCTTCTCTTCCAGGGTTAATAAGCTCATACTCAAACCGAATCCATCCTTAACCATCTTAGCAGCATTACCGGGCTGATCGGCAAACACTGGCAAAGAGAGCATAGGCTTTCCGTGAAACTGAGATTCCGTGATGCCGCCTCTTCCAGCGTGATTTATGAAGAGCTTAATATTGGGATGGGCTAGAATATCATCTTGTGGCAGCCACTTGGAGTAGAGAATATTATCCGATTTTCCAGGCGTTTTATCCAGATCCTCCCACTTCCAGATGACTTTCTGTTTCAGTTTGGACAGCACATTGAACATTTTTGCAATTGTCTCGGGTTTTACATAGGCTCCCTTTACATGGGTACCCAGGCTAAGAAGGATTGCTCCCTGTGTAGCATTTTGTAAAAAGTCAGCAATCGGTTTTGGCAAGGGATCGGGTGTTTCCTTAATTTGAATGCCTCCAACTTCAATCGCTGCTGGGAAATTGGGTCGAATGGGGCCTTCACTAAGGCTATGCGAATTGAATAGGACAAGTGACACATTTTTGTTGAGATCTTCATATTTTGGCATCGTCGGATCATCGCCATAGAGTTTCCTGCAAGAATTTCAATAGTTCAATGGCTCAAATATTTCCGCTGACATCTGTGTGTTTCGACTTACTCGTAGTATCTAGCATTATCCATGTCAATAAGACACCTAATTGTTTCGATCATACTGATTGTCTGGTAATTTTTTATTCGTTGCAATAAACTCATTACTTGACCTTTTTCGATTGAATGAAACATTGATGGAACATAGGATTGCGTTGGTATACCTCCAAGCATTGAGTCGAATATTTTCGATGGGAACATTGACGTCGCCACCACCACTGGTACCTTCAGCTTCTGAGCGATGCCGATTTGAAAGTTGTTAAAGCAGAAACCGACCATCACGAGATCGAATTTGTTATCCTTGTTCTCGTACAGATCTCGAACGCGTTGATTTTTCATGACATTAAAATTGATGTTATTCACGATATAAATTTCATTCCTCATGTGAAAAAGAGCTGTAATCAAATTCGAATTATCTCTCTCAGTCATGTTGGCTATGCTCGCTTCATGTGCTGCGTGCTCCTTCTCAGTCAGTGGCACGTATATATGGTTGAGATTCCTGTGAGTTACATGAGGCTTCAGAGATGTGACCACAGTGACATTATGCCCATTCTCAGCCAACACTTTGGCCATTGACATTTCAACAATCAAATGCGAAGGAGCAGGAAAACTAAATATTGCCAGAATGTTTGCTCCACGCGATCCATTGAAAAGGAGAACCGCAAGACACGAAAGGAATAGAGTCTTAGAAGACATGTCGACGGCTTGAAAATTCACCGTATACTGAGCATAAAAATTTTCAGAGCTAGGGGTTAAATAATATTTTGATCCGAGTGGAAAAAAAGATAACTAGAAAATCTGCCTGAAATTGGAGAAAATCCGATTAGTTCAGCTGATAATTTGAACAAATGTTTGCCCACATGCAAAACAAACTGCTCGTAACTCAGTCACGCTGTTTTTCAGTTGTTGATAAGACTAAAATTTGAATATGATATTCAGACTATTTTTCATTATTTTAGGGTAATCTATCTATTTATGAAGCTGAAAAGGTTTGTGCACACTAAAATATCTCCAAAGAAATCGGGTAAACCAGCCATAAAATATTCATTCATGACCTTGGGCAATTCGTACATTATTTCGTCTTATCGGTCAAGTTTGGCACATACCCTTATCAGTGCCAATTCATGCGATGTGTCTTGGTATTTACTAATACATATGTATGTCTGTCGTCAAGGGGTTTTTGGAAACATAATTGCAATTGTCAATCCAGCTGATAATCTCGCAAGACATCAACGTGATACCCACATTATCTAAAATCTTGTATCAAACAGCGAAAAATATTAATAATGCATTTCGATTTATTATTGGTGAATTGAGCGTATTTGGAAATCTTGAACATGCCTGGATATTCAAAGAGAGTAAACTATATCATGATTACTGTCGGACTGAACATAGTCTGTAGTCGTAATGATTTTGAGTATATTGATATTGACAAGAGATCATTTATATTATATACAGCATTGTTTGAAAGTGCTGATTTTGTGTTTAGCATTTCTGAACGAATAAGAGAGCCATGAGAGTTTTATTATGAAATATTTATTATGCGCCTCTTAGCTCCTAGCTACTACATAAGCCGAAATTATTATTGCGACTGAGAAACTGTAAGCTGTAATGTATCAAGTAATTATTAAAAAGCTATCATTAGCATATATTTATTATATCCATCCTACACTGCACTAATAGTCTTCAAGTGTAAAAACTTGCATATGAATTGCCCAGCTGCTGTAAAACTTCTTTTTCCCCATATCCTTCCCCCAAGGCAGGTGACGCTAGTGCTGAAATACTTGGCAACTTTATTACATAAATTCGCAAAATACTTTTGCACGTTGCAATGCTGCTGTCTGGGTTTGCATTTCCCATACACTTACACCACAGTATAATTTGTAAAAGAAAGGAAAAAAAAAAAAAACAAGTGGAGAAATTCTTCAAACTATCCAACGTGCGCAATGAAAACAAAATACCATTTTGCAATAAGCAAATTTCAATTGAAATAGCAAAACGGCAAAAGGCATGCTGAGAGCGAGCCCCCCAGTCGTCAGCTACGAGCCGCCAGCCCCGATTCCCCACTGCTCTTGCTCCTGTGCCTGCTCCACCTAACCACACTCAAACCGTTCGACCAACATGCTCGATGGAACGTAGACGAGATTTCGGGTTATTTTTGCAAACAAAAAGGCAGTAGTCGAAGATTAAATGCGCTGATGGAAGTCGTTTGAGAATAGGAGAAGTTAGGTGAATTTTATTTATATACAAAATAAAAAAATAAAATAAAATAAAAAATAAATTAAAAGTAATATATTTGACAAAACAAACTTGAGAAGATATAGCGGATATATTTACGTCCATTAGGAACTGTATCTTTTTAAGACTATCAATTAAACATGTGAGTTACTGTTATAATTGAAAGAATGATGTGGACTGTGTGGATCCGGTCATATCGTGAGGAATATTTGGGCTAAAGAGTTGATATATACACGTCTTGCATACCAAATAGCTAAGAGAAAGGCAAGCCTTGCAAAGTCGAGAGCCATGATAAATTGAGTTAGTTATCACATTATCATATTATAAACTCCATATCATCACATTAATCTTCGTAAACTCAGTACATAGTCATCCACCATATATAATATAGATAATTATTTATATTTTATCCAAAACTTCGCTCATTCTTGACAACACCGCAACAATACTCACTGCAAGTGTATCAAAAAAAAAAGCTACACTGTAAAGAATTTTAGAAATATGTGCAATAGTTTCGTGCAGTTCGGGCGTATAGACACGACAATCGAAGAGACGAATCGATGGCAAGGATATGTTCGGATGAGGAGCGAGCATGCTCCACGCGGATACACCAATAACATTTTCAGACAACATCCAAAATGCGAAATTGCGTGAAATATTTCTGTAAAGAATGCTGCAATTGTATATGGAGAGTCTAAAACTAACATCGATCCCATTTACCACTCGCTCAATCATTTTTATTAACTACTCGCCGATGGGAGAGGCAACAATTTCATTACGTTTTTATACCATAACATTTCGAGTGCATATATGCGAAAATATGTGTAAAATTGTGTAAAATATAAAAATACCATGTGGCATTTTTCTGCCTCTTCTTCTTTTTCATTTAGTTTTAGATCACTTTTAAAATATTTATAAATGAAAATATGATTTACACTTAGCTGGGCATTTTTATGGCCAGCAGCAAGTGGCTGTTAAAATGAAAAAAAAATAAATAAAATAAAAAAATAAATAAAATTAATAAATAAATAAATATAAATGAAGTAAAGAAATGGATAGAAAAATAACGAATAAGCTCTCTCTCTCTCTCTGTTGACTGATTCTGCAAACAATTTCATCTGATGAAATGTTATTTGCATGAGCAAACTGAACGAGAATATTAATTGAAAGTGCCAATAGAATGAATATATATATATATTGTCATTGTATATCAAAAATGAAATATTATATGAAATTTAATATACATAAAATATTACAAATTTTTATATTAAATGCG